TTGTTGTGCGTGCGTGCGTGCGTGCGTGCGCGTTGTGCGCATGCGTGTGTGCGCGCGCAGCGCGTGTGCGTGCTGTGTGGTGTACATACGATCATCAACATCAATATGTGCTGTGGCGTGACTTTATCGAGGCTTACTGCACAAATCTCATATAGAGTTTTTTCACACTGCCCGATATGGAACGAGGTTTTGCTTATATCGCACACTGTTAAACTAACTGTCGCGATCTGCATGCCTGTTGTTGCAGTTAGGCCGTAACGTTAACTTACCCGGCGCCACGCTGATTGTAACCGAATGACGTCTTACTCACGTCACCAACTCTGCATGTGTGCTATCAATTAAAATCCGAACGCGCTGCGTATTAAACTTACTTGCAGTGTAGCTTCTATTAGCCTGTATCAGCGCGCTCCACTCTCTCACCCCCAACTTCATGGCACACTCAATGTAATTGCGCGTCTCTGCCTTTCTGTGAGTCTGTTCCTGTGATATGAATACGCTTGTATTTAGGGGAGCGCGAGCGAGCGAACGTCACACACAGAGAGAAATAAGAAAGACAACTGAGAGATGAAAGAGGAGAGAGGAGGAGAGAGAGAGGAGACGAGAGAGAATGAGAGAGAGGAGAGAGATGGGAGAGAAAGAGGACGATAGGCAGAGCACAGACAGACAGACAGCAAGAACAGAAGCACAGACAGACAGAGCAGAGAGGAGAGAGTGAGAGAGGAGAGCAGAAGAGAGGAGAGAGAGAGAGAGCAGGAGAGAGGAGAGGAGAAGAGAAGAGAGAGAAGGAAGAGAGAGAGAGAGCAGACGAGAAGGAGAAGACGAAGTGGGTGGAGCGGAGAGAGCGGCTGACAGCGTAATCCGCCACAGCTTCACATTCACTAACACGCGAGCTGACGATAGAGAGAGAGAGAAGCAGGGTGACGAAGAGAGAGAGAGAGAGAGGAGAAGGAAGAGAGAGAGAGAGAGAGATGAGAGAGAGAGAGAGAGAGACGAAATTTAAGCGCGCCGTCGCGCGTAACCAGGGTGATTATGATGTAGTATATTATACATACATAGTGAAAGCTGAGCTTAGAGCCTGTCCATGAGCGTGCGACGCGCCGCCACCACGGCGACGTGTCGGGAATGGCTGTCTGTCGCTGCAGTAGGCGCACGCCCACGACCGCATGTCACACGTCGCTCACCTCACCGACCCAATCGTTTCGCGGCGCTCTTCAGTCATGCTACGTGCTTTCTCATCAGTAACGATCATAGTTTAGTACTCGCAACACGCGGGCTGGCTGGGCATGTGCATCTTCGGCTCCAGCTCTCCTCCCCCCTTTCGTTAGCGCGCGAGAATCGAAATTTAGTGAGTGCGGCGCTGACTTGCCAAAGTGGTGGGTCATAGGCTCAAGCTACGTTCGCCGAAGTTCGGGTCTAAATCTGACCAGGGAGTACCGACGCTAATGCCGCTTAACTAAAAGCGTTCTGCGCGCAAGCTGTATCATTACACGTGTAAGCAACATTGAACGAGCAACTCACTTCAGCTGTTGCAAATAAGAAGAGCCTCATTGTCACATGTGTCGATCAATTTGTCTGTGTCTGGCATTATCCACATCACCGCTGTGGCCAGCATTAGCATTATCATCTTTCAATAATCTTGCTCGTCGTCTGTTGTGTGTTTGTATGCGTTAAATCTCACACGATTTCTTCACCTAAACTCGTTCTACCTGCGTATGCTCGTATCGTTTCTGTAAATAATGCGTTTGAAAATGTTAAGGCGCAAGATTAAGTTAAAGCGCAACTAGGCGCATGACACCTAATTTCTCCAGTACCCAGACTAAGCAATACTTCGTGTCACTGTCAGAATCACACGTACCTTATGCACAAATAAACTCTAAGTCTCTCCATTGTCACTGCGCGTGTCTGATAACAAAGGCATTGAAATATACCTCCGATGTTGTGACAGTTTAGCGCGTTGCTCTCCCAAGCAACCTGCAGGCGGTGCTGCGGTACAGCGTACTGGGTCAGGCAAGATAAAACATGTGACCTCCCTAACCGCTTCGAGGCTAAAATTGGTGTGGCAAAAAAGTCGGCGTTGGCGCCAGATTACAGATTCGCACCTATTCTTTGGGCTTTTAAGCCAACGCGCAGTAATATGAGGAACTAGCAGTTTATTTTGCCATAAGGTATGTATATGCATGAAACGAAGTATTTGCATAGTTCTAGCTACTGGAGACAATTAGCGTATTGGCATGCGCACTTTGTCGGCTACGGGAGATGACTCACAGAGGCAGGGACGGGGACTTATTGTCGGCTACGGGAGATGACTCATAGAGGCAGGGACGGGGACTTACTATCACATCCGGAAAATGGCTCACAAAGGCAGGGACCCGATGAAACGAGATTTATTTGGATACACACACGTGGCTTACCACAGGGGGTCAGCATGAGGATGAGATACGGATTCATTCATTTACACGTAACTCAGAGACAGAGACGTCTTCACTGAGACAAGTGACAGATTCACAATCATACATATTATTGTAATATATTACAAGCATACATACCATTTTAATATATTATTTCACGAGCATAACATTACGAACGAGCCACAACTATCTTAGACAGCATGTTGTTCCTATTTACGTTAGATGCTGATTCGCTTCCTTACTTGTAAGTTATGAAGGAATACAATTATTATATTTACATTGGAAATCGAATTTCTCCCGTACACACTTTATAACGGAGTAAGTATATTGACAATAGTTGCTAATTTTAATGAATTACTGATGGTGGTATTGAGCATGCAAATGTTCAGTGTGTTTGCACATGCGATATGTGATGGTAATATAGATGGACGCGTTTATTCAACAAATGGGGTCACTCTGTGAACATTTAGTCTTCTTCAGTAAAAATCCTTCATATTACACTATTGTATATTTGTACACATTTGCAGAACGGGGTAGAACGGGGTTCTACTTTTAAATTCCAGTTAAGTCAATAATGATAAAACAATCGCAAATAACATTCGCCAAACGTGATAACAGTGATTTAGACATAATAATATTGACAATAATTTCCCCCTCCTGAGGTTTTACTCCTGACTCAATGAAGTTCAATACTAGCAATTGAAACAGTAACGTGTGCCAGTTTGAAAACTACACGACTGTTTTTTTCTTCGTCAAACTACAGAACGTTAGCAGTGATGCTCTCATGTCGCCATAGAACTACGATCACGTGGGGCAACCTGTCACATTATGGTGAGCAGTCAGCAGCCTACATTATACATGCCTCGGGTTTTTCCAGCTTTGTTGACAGGTTTACGACTTCTTATGTTCGGAACTGTCACAACAGAGAACGCCCCCTAGTTTTCTTCCCCTGACGCTGCGATGCATCATGACATTGTGACGCAAAGCAGCTCATAAGCGCAGCTCAACACATAATAGTCTGCGTGATTGGAATACGTTAGGGGAACAGTAGGTAACGTTTAACAGCTGTACACAACAAGTACGTTGTGTCCATTCACAGCGAGTGAGCGTCTCCCTAGGTGAAATCTATTTCATCCTTTTATTCGTAATCGGGAACGTGGAGCCATTAACTGTGCATTTGCCACGCGAGGTCACGCACTGCCCTAGCTTTGTCAAGGGCTTCATCGCCGTTACACTGATGCAGAGAGGGCTTGGTCGCTGATACGACTCTCTGCTGCTAGTACAGCTGGCTGCAGGCTGCTCGGCGGTACGCATTCTTTTTTGGACCTTGTTTTCGGTAGGAGTTTAGCCATGATATTCATTAGCCTCAGGTCTTCTGCTGTGCTCGCTCTTGTGTTTTATCAACACACTAATCAGACACATATGACTATATATATATATATATATACATGTGTGTCCTGCCGGCATGGCAGAGTACTGAGGAAGCATTCCTCATTGATATTGCACCAGTGGAGGTGCTTTGTCGGCGGCGGTACGCATACGGCAAATGAACGCCACGCCACGTTGAAGCAACACCACCAGAAATACTGCTTTTTACATGCGTTTTACATAAGCCGTAAAAACAAGGAGGTCATCGTCCTTCCAGTGCGCCGACTGTCTGAGGACGATGCTTCAAACGCGGCATAGCCAACTCTTTACGACCCTCTGGTGAAGCCATATATGGTCAAGGTACAACTACCTTTCTTATAAACTCTGCCGTGTGTGATCATCATACTGTACCTGAACTGCTTTTTGGTTTTGTTCCTTCTCGCCAATGATCGTAATGCACCGTTCCGTCAACTGCTGGTCCTTGGCCTTCTGGGATATCTGTATGAAGGCACCACTCTCCTCTTTTATCTGCTTGATATATGCGCCTCCCTTGCCAATAATCATACCCGCTGTGCTGTTTGGGACTAGCACCTTCACCTGTAAAACATATTAAGGTGCAAAGTGCCGTTGTCAGAAAGATCAGTATCAGTAATGATAATCATAGGTCTTAAATGTTATTTAACTTTTGCACTGTAAAAGCTATTTTATACTTATGAAGTGATAACTATTCATGATGTTCTGACAACGGGTCCCGGGTTACATCACAGAAATGTGATCAACTGTGAGGTGCCAAGATATGAATGTGATCATTGATCAAGTGTGAGGTGCCCAGCTGCAAAGGAGATCAACTGTTAGGTACCACGATACAGACGTGACCAAGTGTGCGGTAGCCTACTCACTACTGCAATACAAACGTGATCAACATAATGCTATACAGAATGTGAACAAGCGTGAGGTACCCAGCTCGAAACAGGACCAAGTGTGAGATGCTGTGATTCAAATATGATAAACTGTGAGGTACTATGATGCAAGTGCGATCAGGAATACGCTACACCCCGCCCATTATGTACTCCTGATTTGAGCTACCACCTAACATAACAGTACAGTGCTCATACATATAGCAAACGTGACAGCAAACCCCCCGACTCCACGGTTCACGTCCGAGCATATATAACAGTCCTCCAGTACGAAACCCAATACGGGTGGTTAGTTGAAAACCAGCGCTATCTATAAACCTAATGCCGTCAAGTTGTCGATCATAACTGATTGATCCTAACTGGATCACTGCCTGGCATCCGGAGTCCCACGCTCTCCTAGATATCACACGCACATTTTTTTTCGTGCCGTCGGTTGCCCCACGAGTCAATCACGGGCGCGGGACCCGTGCCGGCCTCGATCCCCATCCGGCGTCCTCCTCTCTCTGTCTTCGCCACAGTCGGTGTGCTAGCACGCGGCGGCAATATATTGCGCCCACCTCCCGCCGCTTATACTGCGTCGGCACGCGCCCGCAGTGCGGTGGCAGGCAAGGGGGAGAAGCAACGACAGATGGCCGGTCCATCTCGCCCGCTCCATCTTCTTCCTCGGCAACTGTGCGGGGCTCGACAGATGTACGCGGCGGCGGCGGTGGGGGTTGGGAAAAAAGCGACCGCGGGCGGTAGCTAGATGGCGCCGCTCGTCTGACGCGGCTTTCAACGCGCAGGTTGTGGCGGGACGAGAGAGAGAGAGAGAGAGAGAGACGCCAGCTTCCCTCACGAGCTTTTATAGCGCTGTTAATTGCTGTTGGCAAAACATAATGCTCTTTCTCTCTGCTCTCTCTCTCTCTCTCTCTCTCTCTCTCTTCTACTCTCATCTCTCTCTCTCTCTCTCTCTCTCTCTCTCTCTCTCTCTCTCTCTCTCTCTCTCTCTCTCTCTCTCTCTCTCTCTCTCTCTCTCTCTCTCTCTCTCTCTCTCTCTCTCTTCTTCTCTCTCTCTCTCTCTCTCTCTCTCTCTCTCTCACTCTCTCTCTCTCTCTCTCTCACCCTCTCGATCGGCTCTCTTATCGGTAGCTGTGATTGATCTATCGCGGAATCGCAGAATATTCCAGTAGTATATAGCGCACTGCAGAGACCGCGGATGGTCGAGGCGAATGGAGAAAGACATTAGCTAACACGAGTTTACAATCCGCAATGTACAATAACACATAATCTCTACCGCATCGGGTTTCACACGCACGCACTAGCTGTCACGCGCAGTCAAACGCACACACGCCCACCCGCGAACGTGACGGCACACGCGAGCGGAAGCAACCCGAGTTTACCATTAGCTATCGTTGATCTATTCCGGACTCGTATTACAAAATATTACAGCAGAATGTAGTATATAGGCAGGTATCAGCAGTACGATAATAATTAATATCAGCTCTCACGCCATCTGGCACGGAGTGTCTCTCAACGCGGCGGCAGTGCCCAGTAGCCGCTACGCGTGCAACGGCAGCTTGTCAGCACTACAGTCTACCTGATACCCAATTAGGCAGCGGGATACCGAATTTTAATCGCAGGCCTACGTGTTTATCTAGCAAAAATAGACGCCGCGTGCGTGCACAGATACAAGCACGCGCCCAAGCACCACGGGAGACCTGTCGTTATTATTTCCGACTGCAATTTTTACTGCATAATTGCGCTATTTTTCTCTGAGCGGTGCATGAGAGATCGAGCTCTAACGAGGGGCGCGCACCCCAACCCCCCTCACACACAAAGAAGACAACCTCTCGAATCCGTACACCATCTCCTCATCCAAAAAGTTGCCGGTATCCGCGGAGGATGAGGGAGAGGGAAGATGGAGGGGAAGGGGGAGGTGGAGGGGAAGGGAAAGATGGAGGGGGAAGGGAAAGATGGAGGGGGAGGGAAAGGTGGAGGGAGAAGGCATAAAGGAGAGGGAAGAAGGACGGGGGAGGTGGATGGGAAAGTGGAACTTGGAGGGGAGGAGTGGGGGAGGGATAAAGGGGAGGGTGAAGGGGGAGAAGGACCGTGAGGTGGATGGGAAGAGGAGGAGAGGGGAGGGGGAAGGGATGGGGGGGGGTGAGGGAGGAGAAGTTCGCCCAGTGGCAGCTTCGGGCGGCAACAGGAGAACGCTCGTTGCCATCGAGACGAATAGCGAGTCGGAGAAAAGATGGAGACGGGAAGGAAGGAGAGAGCGCGGGAAACGGACCGGAATGTTGCTGCCGGCCCAATCAACCGTCAAGTGCACACGCTACGTCCAATGAACCGATAAGCGAAGAAAAGTGTTGCTGTAGGCGAGAGTCGATAAAGGAGGTCGGTAGCTAAATAGAGGAGGAGAGTAGGTAGGTTAAGAGTCGATAACCGTCATGTAGCAGCAAGTGGCCGTGTTCTAAATCCCAGGTGAATAAGACACCGCTGCCGCCGCCTATATGTCTGCGAAAGAACTGCAATTTCGTTAGAGCACAAGGGCGCCAGCTGCCATGCATCCTAACAAATTGCTTCTGCCAGGTTTTTATGCTATTTTCCCATTCACGGACATTAATTCTTAATTAACGTATAAATGCTTAAGCCGCTAGGATGTAATGTGGGTTTTATATAATTAGAAGACCTGCCCTAAGAGAGGTTTACAAATAATTGCAGAACAAAAAACAGACTCTCTGGCTACGGCGCGAAAGACAGCTAAGAATTAGGTGCGGAATCAGTCGCAAGCGGCGCCACTGGCAGCCACGAATGCGAGTTACGAACAGTTGGGTACGCACGCCGAGAGTTCCACCAGAGAATAAAGCAGAGGGTCCTTAAGCTGGAAGCCAATTAGCTAGTCATTACCGAACATGGCATAGTCAGTAGCGCAGTTAGAACCACTTCGACAAATAATTTACCTTATCTCAGCCCCCACCTGCTTGTTCCTACCTAGCTCTAGTCTATAGCCCGCGTACAGTTGCCGCAGGGCTATAGAACATTCTATTACGAATGCTCGGGACCAACTTACTCCAGCCAGTCAGCGGGAACTATGTATTTCCGCACGTGGAGGGGTGGGCAGGTTGTGTTGGTTGTGGACAAAAACGTTGTTGTCAAATAACAAATTAATAATAGTAATTTGTTCATCTTTCATGACAAAACTAATATTACAATCTTTTTTGATCGCTTTAATTTGTTACAACTTACTTGACAACAGAAATGTTTTTGTCCACAACCAACACAACCCCCCCCCCTCCACGTGCGAAAATACATAGTTCCCGCTAACTGGCGCTGCTGCAGCGCCACCAAAAATTGCCGTTTGAAGTTCGTAAATAATGTTCGTTCACAAGAAATACCGCAAGTAGACCATTTCAACGATAGTTAGAGGTTAAATTTTAGTAGCTGATATAACTTAAGACATATTCACTTCGGATAAGAGGCATTAATTGCCTACCACCGACGTTTTATAGCCGCGAGTAACCGTGAATAAGTTCGTCCCTAGCATTCGTAATAGAATGTTCTATAGCCCTGCGGCAACTGTATGCGGGCTATACTACTAGAAATAGTTCCTATACCCAACCCACACCTTATCTTCCTTACCCACACCTTATCTTCTTTAGCCCACCCGGCGCCTGTAGCATCACTGCGAGTGTTTAAAAACCACCGCCAACACTCATTTGTCACCAGCACGACACCCGTCAGCGCAGCGCACCTGTTTATCACGGTCCGCTGCGAATTTGTGGTCGTAATCGATGGCCTGCTTCGAGTTGGGGTCTGGCTTCTCCCGTATCTTCTCCATAATGAAGCCATGGATCGTCATGATGGCCTCTAGACTTCCTGACACGAGGCAAACCCGCTCCGTCGATCCTAAAAACACAACGAAGACGAATGATCAGGAATGTAAACACTCAATGATTCACGCCCGAGAGTGCTGCATCCTTACTGCCGAGAGTACTTCAGCACTTAACGAAAAACGAGGGAGGGAAGCAATTAGCAAACGGTAATCACGGCAAGAAGAGAGGTCCTACAACGGACGATTCGCCCGCGGAACATGGAGGAGAGGTTGGACTAAATCAAAGACGCCAGCATTGGCAAGAAAATGCCAAATGTTCATCAGGCGGAGAAACAGTATATACATTAATACAGATGATTACGGATGATTACAGTATACATTAGACAGATGATTAATGGCGAAGTGACGCATTCAACAAACAGAATGGTGAACTCTGAACTGTAGTCTCTTTTTTGCACATCGCAATTTTTCCTCCCGGCTGATTCGCGGGTACCATTCGCGCGTGCCCCAAGAGAACGGAATTTTTTGCGGCGTTTTCCGTTGGCAGGAAACGATTTTGTAAACGAAGTAGCTGTTGAGTGCTGTCGTCTCTAGAGGTAAACATGCGTCTGTAGCAAACACGATGGTTCGCCTTCATCTCCCCTGCAATCATTAACCGAGCCGTGATGCTGAGCAATTTATGAAGTCTGCTTTATCATTAGATACATGACAGCGCTAAACGTTTGCCGCGCCCATACGTGTCTAACATTTCCCCAATATAAGCTCCCGCTCGATCGTAAACCACCTGGCTATAAATTCCCTTCCTTCACGTCCTGAACGTTCGTTCTGTGTCACTGGATACGATAACAACTGCACATGGTGGCATGTTAAGTGAGATTATTAGCAGGTCTTTTACACGCAACCTCTCCGGTTTTACTCGCAACTTCTAGATCTGCTAATGATCGCATAATTATCTCTTTATTTTTTTCTCCCGTCCGGCCCCATGCAGCGAACCGAACAACCAGCCAACATTTTTTCGAGGTATTGTTTACAGACAGATGGTACTACTCTTTTTTGTCTACCTTCTCTTACTCGCGTGGTAGGACGCGCGGCCCGCCTCTACGCCGCTTCAGATGTTGGGAAGCTGCCGAGGAAACCCCCCAGCTTTACGTAGCTCTACCGCATGCTGGGCTCCGTGACAGCTGATGCTGCTGAGCACTGTTTAGACAGTCCTCGCATCGCACGTCGTAAACCGAGCGGCTGGCGGCTGGCGGCCGACGCGTCGGGTGCGTTTACTATGGCTACATCGTATCCATTTTCTCGTGCGGTCAGCGAAGAGCGCAGCTGTGGGACGCGCGCGCGCGCGGGGAATGCAGTGCGATGCCGGAGTGGGATCTCAGACGGAGTAATCAAGTATAACACGGAGAGCACCATAGCTATTGCTGGCTGAAGAACGCGAGCTGCGCGCAGCCCAGCAAGCGATGCCGATTTGTTGCATTGATTGCCGATGCGCCGATTGCCGATTGTCGGCAGTTTTTGTCGCGTAGCTGGAAAGCTAGATTTCACAGTTAAAGTTCTTTGACACATACTATTTGAAAAATAACACCTCCGCTTTCATAAACAGGCGAGAGAGAGACAGAGAGAGAGAGAGAGAGAGAGAGAGAGAGAGAGAGAGAGAGAGAGAGAGAGAGAGAGAGAGAGAGAGAGAGAGAGAGAGAGAGAGAGAGAGAGAGAGAGAGAGAGAGAGAGAGAGAGAGAGAGAGAGAGAGAGAGAGAGAGAGAGAGAGAGAGAGAGAGAGAGAGAGCGAGAGAGAGAGAGAGAGAGAGAGAGAGAGAGAGAGAGAGAGAGAGAGAGAGAGAGAGAGAAAGAGAGAGAGAGAGAGAGAGAGAGATAATGAACAGACAGAGAGGGAAATAGAACAATCGCCACAAATGGCCCCCACGATGTACAGCAAAAGGTGTGAACCGGTGGACGACACCAGTATAAAGGATCTATAGTGAAACGTAAATGTAAAAATAGCAAAAACACCCAGAATTTGTTAGAAAATATATTTCACAGATATCACATTTTTCCCGCGGTAGCTGTCACTGTATTTATGCGATATAGCGGTTTTGCGTATATGGTTGAATTTTGTAGACAATCCTTGCGTTGATTTCGGTCAATCTCTCAGGAATGCGATTTTTATACGAAACATGAATATGGGCGAGTTACTGAGTGTCGAAAGAAAAGATTTCACGTTTTCCCAACCATTTTCATATTTTCCTCGACCGTTCTGATAATTAATGGTGCTCCTTGCGTAGCACCAACTGTATACAGTATAAAGCTAACAGGTCTCACACATAATTATTTTCACCAATATGTCCACCGATCTGCATTTTAAAGTAGATTTGTTTACATATATGTCAACAGCAATAGCAGATTAGCACGTGATTCTTGCATCGCACGAGATGCCTTCGACTGGTACCGTACCCTGTTTCTACACGTTTTACTTTAATGCTGTGGGAATTAGTAACGTTCTGCTAATATAAGGGGCGAGACCCAATTTGGCTACATGTATTAATATTTCGATTTATTTGAGAGATAATAATTACATATATATACATACGTATATATATACATACATACCTATATATACACATATGTATACCTATATACACATATGTATACCTATATATATACATATATATATATACACCTATATATATACATATATATATATATATATATATATATATATATATATAGATAGATAGAGACATATATGTCTCTTGTCTCTAGGGATCGCCTGTCTGTGTCTCAGCCACCCCCCACCCCCTCACGCCATCTCTGACGCTTTCCTCTCGAGATCGCCACTTCAACATCAGAATTCAAATGCAGGAGACCTCACAAAAGGAAAATTCGATCCCAAAAGTACTCCAAATCAACGCAACTCCCATGATTCGTATGACAGCTAAAGGAGAAGCCCTTTGCGCACGTAATTACAGCACAGCTAACACAGCGAACGTTAGAGGGTAGAAAAGCCCCCGGCTTGAATGCAAGATAAGACTCATTAGATTTTTCATTGCAGCCGTAACATCGGGGCGTTCCACACATCAATGTCGATTTAATATGATTTGGCTATATGAAACTTTGATGTTTATATAAATGAGTAAATATAATTACATACATACGACCAGTGTGGAGTGTGAATATTTACCGAGTACCACCGATCGATCTGCGCTGGAACGTTGTTAAGACCTCATCTACACGGCCTTTGCAATAACATAATAGCTAAAGGACGTTCTACGGGTGAATTCCACCGCATACACGCATCTGTACACACTGTTATGCTCTGTTAATGTGGCATGCAATTAACCTGTACACGGATCAAATCAAATCGAACCGTCTAACGTTGACCTTTTGAAATGAAGGCTATTACTGTATCTCGCGGGCAAGAACGTCTAGCTATTATTTATCCGAGCACCCGAGCACATATATAACGAAATCTAGCGGAAATATATAAAACGAATAAATTGCTAGCGTCTGCACACGCAGCAGCAAATCGCTGCTGCTCGCTTATTTATAATCCCCGCGAATTTTGCTCTTCTCAACACCAAATAATTGCAGGCGAACAGCTCATTTGCTCATCGGGAATGTCATTATTATCGCCACGGATTGCACTGGAGAGAAAAGGCTGATGAATTGCGGTCAGTCATTATCAATATATAAATGAACATTAATTGTAACGGCGAGAGAAAGTAGAAGGAAGAGAGGAAGAGGGGGGAAGAGAGCGCACGCGCGAGAGAGATAGAGAGGGTAGAGAGACAGACAGACAGAGGGGAGAGAGTGAAAGAAAGAGATAGAGAGAAAGAGAGAGAGAGAGAGGAGGGAGGGAGGGA